CACACGCACATCTATGGCCAACCCAAGGCCCTCCCGTCCTGGGCAACTTGGGTCTCAGGCGAGAGAGAGCAGGAACTTTTAAACCCCGCTCATGGGTGAATTTGGGGACCAGTGTCAGGCATGATCGCCTCCACTCAATGTGATGAGTGGGAGACCATGCACCCCATATCTGCTCTTGTTCATCAGACATGTTATTGGGGTAGGGGAAACGCTGCGGCTCCCTAGTCCCGCCCAGGGCCGCGACACCCAAGTTAGCTTTGCCACAGGGCTGTGGTCTGGGGGCGACGCAGAGGCGTTGCCGTTGGGCCATCTTGTAGGACAGAGAACTGCCCCGGAGGGCTTTCCGGGATGAAATTTTGACAGAAGCCGATGACCAGGTCTGTCCTCCCGCAGACCTGCTGCTGGGTTTGAACCGACGACCTTTCACTTAGCAGCCGATGCTTAACCACTGCACCACCAGGGCTCCTTTTAATAAGCAGAGCCGGGGCCAAATGGAGACCATGCAGGCCCCAGTGATGGACAGGCAGAGCTGTCCAGGAGACGTGGCAGACAGCCAGGCACCTCCCAGGTGAAAGGCCACGAGGAAAGAAGAGACACACCCGGAGCAGGGTGGATTCCGGGCAGCAATGCGGCACTTTCATTACAGTAACGTCTAACATGTACACTTCATCTGTGCAGGGACTGTCCCGGTATTTTCTGTGTGACGTGAGGCACTGTCACACCCTCTAGTGGCGAGGACTCTCGGCCCCTCCAGAGACAACGGAGCACAATCACCTCTGTCTGGTCTTTCTCTCCCAACCCACCTGCAACGTGCCCACAAGTACCGACAGTGCTGCCTACAGAATGGATCCGGAATCTGACTATTTCTCACCCCCAGCCCGCCACCCCCTGGTCGAAGCCACCACCCTCTACAGCCAGGACGGTAGCCCTGCCCCATCCCCCTAAAATCCACTTTCATCACGGCGGCCAGGGGACCCCTTAAAGCAAGAGTCCGCCTCGATGACGCCTCCCTGCACCTCCTCTCTGCACCCGCCACCCCGCCTGCCTTCATTGGGCTACACAGGCATCCCCTTCCGACTGCACTTTGCTTTACTGAGCTTTGGAGACGGTGAGTTTTTTTTACAAAATGAAGGTCTGCGGCAGCCCTATGCCAAGCAAGCCTACAGGCTCCATTCTGCCAACAGCACTTTGTGTCTCGGCATCCCATTTGGGTCATTTGAAAGGGATTTCACACTTTTGCCCTCACAGTACTGCACACTGACTAGATGATGGTATCATGGAAACACAGCTTTTATATGCACTGGGAAACCAAACAATTCCTGTGACTCGCTTTACTGTGGTGCCCACCTCACTGTAGTGCTCGCTTTACTGCAGTGGTCTGGAACCAAACCCGCAATAGCTCCAAGGTCTGCCTGAACAACCCCTCAGGCCAGCCCCAGGGCCTTTGCACAAGCTCTCACTTGTACCTGGAATGCTCTTCCCCAGGCAGCCCCACAGCTCACATCCTCCCTGTGTCACGTCTCTGCTCAAAAGTCACAAGAGACCATCCCAGGCTCCTGACCAACAACTGATGGCCTGCACCCTGCCTGCCAGTCCTCCTGCCCTGATTGGTTCTCCTCCAAGGCTCGTGTCACTCTGGGACATGGGACGCATCTCCCTGCTGGTGCAATCTGGTCTTCTGCCCCCGTACATTGTACACCACAAGGGCAGGGAGGTGGCTGCACCTCCAGCATCTGAAGTAGAAACTGGCACACAGCGTCACTGCGGTCAAGTCGATTCTGACTCACAGTGCCCCGCGTAAACGCTTGCGGGCATTCAGGGCCTGCCAGGGCCCAGGGGAGCTCAGCCGACCAGCAGGCAGAGGGGTACCACAAGGCACTTCAGACGCCAACCAGAGAAAGCACCCTCTTGATTCACAGTCCCCAGAGCGATCCGCTTCCACACAGGGAGCTTACTAGCTCTACTCATGGCAGCAGGGGGCCACTTTGAGGGCCAAGAGGTGTCTGACCCCATGGTATTTTCAACCAGCTCACATACATGTGACAGCTAGACAATGAATATGGAAGATCGAGGAAGAGATGATGCCTTTGAGTTGTGGTGCTGGCGAAGAATACTGGAAGTCCACGGACTGCCAGAAGAATGAACCAATCCGTCCTGGAGGAAGTGCAGCCGGCATGCTCCTTGGAAGCGAGAATGGCCAGATTTCGTCTCACCTACTTTGGTCATGTTGTCAGAGGGGACCATTCTCTGGAGAAGGATGCCATGCTTGGTAAAGTGGAGGGTCGGCAAGAAAGGGGAAGGCCCTCAACGAGATGGACTGACACGGTGGCTGCGACCGTGACTTATGTATAGCAAGGACTGTGAGGCTGGCACGGGGCCAGGCAGCGTTTTGTTCTGTGGTACAGGCACTGTTTTGTCGCTGTGAGTCGGAGCCCGCTGGACAGCGCCTGACAACAACAACAACAACAACCTGTCTCCAGTCGATGCGTTTAGGAGGTGCATGTCCCTGCGTGATGTGACCTGCATTTCAATTTTAAAACGGGAAAGAAAAGTGGTGCAAGTTTTCACCTGTGGGAGAGTCGTGCTCTATGAGACACCTGTCTCTCTCACATGTACGCACATGCATGCACACGCACACACACACACACACACACACCCCAAGGCAGCCAACACATCAGACCCAGAGGGCCGCCTCAGGTGCAACCGACACGGTGCGAAGTTTTAAAAAGATGCAAACTACAACAGAAGCTGGAAAGGTTAGACTGGAAGCTTAAGTTAAGGGCAGTGAGTCCAAGTTCATGGGGAGGAAGAATTCTGAAAAGGAGGGTGAGGAGGGCTGCACAGACGCCGCGGAATTACACGTGTACAGACCGGGACTGGTGTATGTTCTGTTGGGCATGTTTTCAACAATGACAAAATAAATAAAACTTTAAAAGAAACAGCAGCAGTATAACAAACAGGAACTCATCCATGACGAGAACAAATTTGGAAAAAGGTCAGTTCACCTTAAGAGCACCGTGTTTTCTCTGAAAAACGAACATGGGCTCAACTAAATTCAAAAGGGAAACGTGGCTCCCCAACGCCCCCCCCCCCGGGAATCCAGGGTGGAAGGGTCTGCACTCACCCGTGGGCGGGGTCCAGGGCGATGGCCCGAGGCTGGTCTAGGTCCTGCCAAAAGAGCACCTTGCGGGACGTCCCGTTGAGGTTGGCCACCTCGATGCGGTTGGTCTCCGAGTCCGTCCAGTACAGCTTCTTGCCGACCCAGTCGCAAGCCAGGCCGTCAGGTGAGACCAGGCCCGAGATGACCACGTTCTGCACGGCGGCCCCCGTCTGGTTCAAGAAGGTCTGCTTTATGGCCTCCTCGCTCACGTCCGTCCAGTACACAGCTCCCTTGGAGAACTGGAAGTCCACGGCGGCCGCGTCCTCCAGCCCGCTGACCACGACGGTGGACTCCAGCTTGACGCCACCGGCGTCCACCAGCCGCACGTCCCGGCGGTTGGCAAACAGTAGGAGCGGTGAGGCTGTGGGGGCAGACAGCACCGTGAGAACCGCCAGTCAGGCCACTCGTTGTACCTCCCGCCCTTCTGTCCATGCCCTGGGGGCTGCCAGGAAGCCAGCCCGCCCCTGCCAGGTCAGCCACAGCCACCGTGCTCTGAGGGCAGAGCCTCTGTGATGCAAATCACAAGACGTGTGCACAGTGAGTTCCTCCCACACAGCCCCGTGGCTCTTCCTACTCTGAGGCCACGGAGGCCACGCTGGGCCTCAGATGGCAGCAGGAGCCCATTCTATTTGCAGAGACACAATGGCACTTCCCCTTCGTTGGCCTGGTTACCGTCGTGGTTCAGGCCACCAGCGTGGGGACAAGGAGAGCAGCCCTGGCCACGAGGCCCAACAGAGCCAGGACAAGGGGCGGAGAGGGGTGTCAGAACCACTGGCTGAACACAACTTGAAGATTCCCTTACAGTTCCTGACCGCTGCCCAAGCTCTGAGGGCCCTGGAGGCTCAGTGGAGGGCTCAGCTGCTAACCGAAAGGTCAGTGGTTCAAGCCCGCCAGCCACTCAGTAGGAGAAAGATGAGGCAGTCTGCTTCTGTGAAGACTGACAGCCTTGAGTGGCTTCCGGCCAAACAAAAGACAGGCATATGAGTTGAACATGTACCTGAGATAGATACACTCCTTGGAGAGAATAATCATGGGAGAAAGAAGGGCTGTTTATGCACAGGGAGACAGCTCAGGGGGCAGGAGTGCATGGAGGGATGGACACAGGGAAGAGGTGAGTATCGGGAGGAAGTGGGAGGGGAGCTGTCACATTGTAGAGAATTGTAGTCAATGTCATGAGACAAAGTGTACGTGAACTGCTGTATGGAAAGTGAATTTGCTCTGTAAACTTTCACCCAAATCACAATAAGAAAAAAAAATTGACACCCTTGAAACCCTGTGGGCAGTTCCACTCTGTCCTCTAGGGGCGCTGTGGGTCAGAATCGACTTCATGGCCATGGGTGTGGTTTTGGCTTTGCCTCAGTAAAGATTGACAGCCTTGGAGACCCTCTGGGGCAGTTCCACTCTGTCCTCTAGGGGCGCTGTGGGTCGGAATGGACTCCACGGCAGTGGGTGTGGTTTGGG